CGTCATAACCACATTGAAGATCTGTTTTACTGAAGTAGCTTTGCAAAACTTCAAGAGGAAATATGATAGTGTGGTTAAATCATGAGACCGGGAACATGATGTTCTGGGCATTAGTCCCAGCTTGGCAGTCCCTGGCTACCTGGCCTTGGGCAATCAGTCTCCCAGCACCTCCTCCATAGGTGGAGTGACACCCTGGGGGCAGGGAGGCAAGGCGGGGTCCATGCTTCTCTGTTTGTATAAAGCTCTCAAAGCGTAGCGCTCTTGTACAGAGCTGTCAAGTAACAGCTTGCCAAGGGTCCCTTCCTTCTTCATGAAGCCACTACCATGGCATGCGATAATATAACTAGTGAATCTAGTTATTAGAAAACATCACAAATAGGATCACAAATTCTTTCATGTGGGCCAATCTTTTCACATTCAGATATAAACATTTGGCTTTAGCACTTGATCTTATGCACACTAAGCAATAAGCAAACTGTCTGGAAACTGTGGATAATACAGAATCAAAGCTGAATACATGCCCATGAACTGGATCCTACTGACACCTTGTCACTGGTCACAGCAGCAGAGCTCTAGGAAGGATGCTTGAACACTGGTGAAAAAGCAGATTTGGTGTAACCCTGTGTAACATAAGTAGAAATCAGTTATAAATAATGCATTCTCCAAGACACCCAAAAAGTCCAGAGGGACTCCCATTGCCTCCTCAGTGGGGGTAAGATTCTAGCCTGGACATGAACATCTTCCTGAGGACTCCACCTTTGGGGTGAGAAATGGAAGTTGCACAGCCTGTTTTAAGCAATTCTGCCAGGTGGAAGGTTTCATGTCCTGCACACACACAGGTGAAAGCACAGGTTAAAAAATGAAATCAAAATCTTTAAGTTTAATGAATTCCTGGAGACTTTCATTGCAATTATTTTTAAACAAGGAATGTCCTCCAAATTAGCATGTTCACATGAGCTAGAACCAGTTATTCCTGGTCACTTTCTTTCTGCTTGCGTTTCCTTTTTGTGTGTATCAACAAAGTTAAGATAGAGAGTAACAGATTTATCTCTACTAGTTGTTTAGAGCATAAAGTCTTTAAGTACTGAAATTACAAGTCATTTCTATGACATGAGTTTCTTCTACTTAATGGACTAGACAGCCTCGAATCTCCAGTTTCAAGAATTTCAGTGATAAATGAATTGGGCTGCGCTTTGCGATCTTTTTGTCTGATACTTACACTTTCCAGAGCCTGTCACCACAGGAAACTATCTTAAAATTACTCATGATGGCTATTAAGGGCTTAAGCAGTGTCCTAACAGTTGTAGGGAATATGCATATTAAAAACAAACAAATATCATAGACAGTTTTTAGGAATTTTACATCTTTTTTGTGTAGATCAAATTTCATTAGATTCATTGTGCCAATCCAGATATCACAGAAGGAAAAGGAAAAATCAAACCTATCAAACCCCTATTTTGGTTTATTCCATTTACTCCACAAGAAGTGTATAATTATGAGAGAATGAACTTTTACTTCTTATTTGTCAGGTTAACTTAGGGGGACAATGACTTCTTCAATTATTCTACATTGCTACTACCTGCTTCTGCTTTACAAGGAACTTCGTTGTTCAAAATTCTTCTGAAAAAGTCAAACCCTCTATTACTGGTGTATAGCTGGTCTAACACTGCTGCATTTACAATTATAATATAATTATTAGCTAGAATATTTGATAAAACTTGATACAGGAGTTTTTTTTAAATTTGGTGATTAGCTCCAAAAAGTAACGGCAACTTAAATTAAAAGAATGATTTTTATTACTTCTGGCGTACTGATATCTGAATTGTTACACACCACATTTTCCAATTTTACTTGGTCATCACAAGAACAAGAAACTTAAACACTTCCTTTTAATTAAATTGAGATTGTTAAATAATTAAACAAGCCCAGGAGCCAGAGTTACAAGTTTCTCTGGCTATTCAGAAAGAGAGGTGAGGCTCAGGTAAGTTTGGTAGATTTCCACGGAGTACTCAAAAATGCTCAAAAATAAGTAAGTTAATAAATCCTATAGAGTCACACATTAGAACAGATTTAAAAACAATGCAAAGCTTTCACTGTTGCTTCTTGAGCAGTGCTTCAGAAATCCATTTGGCTGAAGCTTTTTGATTTTGGCAGTGATCGGAATCAGAGGCATAGGAAATAACGTGCACGCAGGGCACGCACAGAACAGTTCTTCTGGTTTCGCCTCTTGCAGTCAGCAGTTTATGGACCCCCTGAGCTGAAGGCTGCATTTGTTTTAGTTGCCACTGCTTTAAAACCAGGAAATAATTAGGTTATCTGAAACTAACATTCTGCCCCTTGGCAAAGTAGAGCTTTCTTTCACATACCTTCCTAATCATTCCACTGAAACCAAACAATATTTTAAAGACTTTTTAGCATCTGGAACAATTCTTCCAGAAGAAGCTTTGCCTCAGAAACAACTTATGATTACCTTTTATACACGAAGTGAACAGCAGACTTCCTACATTACACTGGGCAAAAAAGGAGATGACGCTTTAATCCTTCAGCGCTAGGTTTCTTACTAATTTGAACAGGAAGTACCCAGCAAACTCAGAAGTGTACAGAACTCATCCCTCACCGCTGGCCTTCCAAGCCCAACTTGCTAATCCTGGTGACAAAATATATTTGTCCCTGATTTGGATTGGGATGAGGAGAGGAAAAATAGGGGTAATTTTATAATCATCTGCAGCCAGAGAGTACCTAAAGTGAATAAAAGGTATGAGTAATAAAGAGCCAAATTTAGGGAGCATCTTCTCAGAAAGTCCTTGTGCTACTCCCAGATTCTTATTTGTCACTTGGTTCTCATTTGCAGAAGTGAACAACCATCAGCTTGCAAACACAGCTATTCCAGACAACCAATAATGTTGTGCAAGCAGGCACAGTACAGAATTAATCTATTCCTGGTACATCATGAGCTAAGCAAGCAAGTAAAAACAACTGCAGTGGTGTCAGGGCAGATGAAAGGCGGTTAGGAAACTTGCTGCAAGACAGTGGAATCCAGTTCTTACAAGAGCTGCCCTAGACTTTTCCCGTTTGACTCCTCACTTCCCTTCTCCCGGCCTAAAGAGATGCTTCCCTTACTGAACACGATAAATCCACAGTGAAGTCTCCTTCACAAAACAGGACAGTTCCTATAGTGACAGTGTTTCATCCTGTGTGACAAATGAATCAAAATAAGTAATTGACTCTCCCCTCCACCAATTCTATCCAGAAAACATGCAACCAAGCCCATATTTTTATCTTCATGAAGACTCTGATTTTGCAACAGTGAAAAAACACTGCTCCCTCCACAAGGCACAACAGAGCAATTTGCTTAAGCTCATGCAGTAAAATTCTAGGAAAGCTGAGGGGAAAAAAAAAAAAAAAAAGGGCATCTGCTCTCACACTCTCACCAACAAACACTGCCATCATCACTTCCAATAAATTCAGCTGCGTGGGAATTCAAATAGCCATTCAAACATAAAGATATTGTAAAGAGACATAAGATGCTTTTCTGCAGGTCAAGTTTTGCCCTGAGCCTGCTCCTTATGCTGATGAAGTAACGGTATCTTTGAGGAGTTAGCTGCAATGAGAAAGGGGAAGGCAGAGCTCTGTTCCCAGTCCAGCCCTCACCAAAGCACTTCTGGAATCAAGTCTTTACGAGGCAGTGCTGAGGTTGGTTGCGTGCTGCAAGTGGGCTTCAACGTCTGCTGCCACAGAGCAGTAACAAACGGAAGATGCAGCATCAGGTCCAGACTGAGAAAATGGAAGAGCAGTCAGCAGCTTCCAGCTCCTCCAACCTTTAGCCCCAGCTGGGTGTCTGCCCAGGGCTATTTGCCCTGTGAACTGCAATAACAGGAGGCAAAGAACAGCCTCAAAAATCCTCACTTTCTAGTTACAAGGCAGGAGAAGGATGGGAGAGGCACTAACAATGAGATTTACCCCTTTCACACCAAGGGTAGTTTGGAACAGCATGTACTCTGGCAGGATACGGACAGTTTACTATTCTAGTTATTGCTGGTTTATAGAGGGCGTCTGGCAACTAATAAAGTGGAAAGTATCTCGGGTACTAGACTTAGGCTCTTTACTAGCTTGGCTCTCTTTCCGAGATGGACTGATTGGAGCACACAGATAAGCATATGTGCGCACTGGGCTTTTTTCATGCTACAGCAGTGCAGCTTCTAGAAGACTCATCTTAGCTGTGTGCTGTATGCGCACAGAGCTGTCCAGGTAAAATTAGACTTCAAATCAGAGCCAAACAAAACACCTGAAAAGCCCTAGACTAATAGTACAGGGCTTCCCATTTCATCTGGGAACTTTTAATACTTGTTTTCCTTCAGAAATTAATATCAGCTAAGTGAAAATACCACCAAGAAAAAAAGGTGCAGAAACATGCTTTAATTCCCTTCCCCGGCACTTTTTTTGCCAAAATTTGCTAAATCTAACAACTGCTTATAAGCACCCTGCTTCCCTCACCTCCCCAAATTGCATTTCCTGCAGTAAAACAAAGTCCAGCTGAGAACAGCAAAGGAATCCAATTTCACTCAGAAAGCACACGGCTGGTAAAACATATGCTTGTATCTGCATGTTACATGTGTGCTACAAAACACAAGATGTTGGTGTCACAAAAGCAGACGTAGAACTGCCCAGAGAAGAGACAGATTTGGCAGTCATCAGCTTAGCAATAGCAACTAAGCACATATGGTCACCCAGCAGAGAACGTACCAGACAAAAGAGTCCCAAAAGGGGAACCACAAAATGCAGCCGCACAAGCACAAGAAGCAATGAAGAAGGATGGGCAGCTGGAGAGTCAGGGCTGTCCAAAAGACAGGCTGCTAGGGGAAAAAAAAACAGTCAAAAAGCAAAGACAGCAGAAAGATTTGTGGATCTGGTTAAACACTGATTACACAGAATCACAGAATGGTTTAGGTTGGAAGGGACCTCTGGAGATCATCTAGTCCAACCTCCCTGCTCAAGCAGGGTCCTCTAGAGCATATTTCCCAGGATCACATCCAGACGGGTTTTGAATATTAGAGCAGCCTGAAACAAGTTAAGAGGTAAAGAGATGGGAAAAAAATGGGAAAAGAATTACTCACCCAAGGAGTCCAGGGGTGAACAGAAGGAGAAAACTGCAGGAGTAGCTACAGGTAAGGGGAAGACAAAGATTTTTTCCCCCCTCCAAACCAGAAGAGTTTGCATGTGAGGTTTGACACAGCTGGCATTCCAGTTTTGGGATCTCCTTGCATTTTGCCCAATTTTCTCCTAAAAAAAAGCTGTGGAAGTGTTGGAAGCATTCTCAAGCTAAACAAGGCTTTTTACAAAGATCTAGATATCACTCTTTAATAAATTTCACAAGAAAACAACATTGTTTCATTAAATATCTTAGACTCATCACAGCTTTAAGTAGTAGAATACATTAATCTCATAAGAAACAACCTACAAATCTGGTTTTATTCTCAGAGTTGGGTTTGATCATGCGTTTTCTACTAACAGACGAGATTCTGAATAATGACAGACTTGAGCAATGGCCACTGCCTCCAGGTGGAACAGCTTGCAATCAGCTGATATATGCTGCACCTACCCCATAATTTTAGGTTCAAAATTGATTAAGCTGTTCTGAAAAAGCCAGTCATCTCACCGTCATGAAGCATGAACTCTCCCAGCTAGTGGCAGACCAATTCTAGTTAGAAGCCAGCACTGCTCAACCTACTCAAGGTCATCCAGACAGTTTTTAGTAAATTTGGTTGTAAGACAGCTTTCCTCATTTCTAAAGACAGAAAAAAAATGAACAAGCTATTCCTAAACAAAGGCATTTATTAAAAATTAGTCATAAATACATTCCCCTTATCCCCAGAGACATCTTCACTATCCTTGGAAAGTTTATCGGGAATAAGAGAAAAATCAGTTCAGCCCTTGAAGGACGCCCGGCAGTGGGGACATTACAGCTAATATTCCAGTCCTCTCATCGCAGCGATGCTGCTGGCCATTCTGCGGGGCACGCTTTTTGCAGCTTGCCGGTAGTCCTCTGGTTTTGCCTTCAACAGGGTTACAATATTTTGCAGTGTTCTTGATGGCTGAAGGCCGAGGGCATCCATCACATTTATTAGATAATCTATGAGATTAAGGATAAACATGTATTTAAACAGGGAACAGATACTGTGCAAGCAGCACCCAAATAAAAGCTTTTCTTTGTCCTTCATGACAGCTAGAATCCTCTCCGTCAACACAGAGAACTGCAACGCATTTGGAATTTAACTGAACTGACTGACAAATATATTTGGCTTTCAGTACATTAGTTTAAACAACTGTGTTTTGTTCAGAGCACTGAGGCACGTTCTGCCATATTTCAGTATCTGCACGAAGGCCACTGGGACCACCTCCTCAGGGTACTCAGTCACCGAGGTCACAGATAAAGGATCACAATCAATTTCAAAGGCGAGTTAAGAGCTTGCAACAAAGATGGGAAATTCTGTAGGGGTGAATGGTTGTCAAGGTAGGAGGGAGTTCCAGATCACTGGTTCAAAGTCAGCTGAGGAATTAAAGATGGAATGGGGAATGTTCAGCAACCAGCCTCTAATCCAGTGTTTTGTTATTACGCAGTACCAGAAAAAAGATTCAAGGCTGAGTTCCCTGATATTCAAACTCACTTTCAGGTGAGCTGAGGAGAATATATTGTCTGTATCATTGTTTTTGAGGTTGGCTGTAGTGAAGTCAGCATCCATAATTTAGAGCAGAGAAAGGACCAGCTTGTGTTTACAACAGCTGAAGTGGTCCTGTGGAGACTTTTTCATCAGTTTAGGATTAAAAAGCACCCTTCTCTTCCACATCCTCCACCTTCCCCAACACCTTCCATCAATCCTCCCTCAGTTGCTCTGCATTACAAGGGAGAAGGTAGAGAGGAACAACACCTCCCAAGTATCTCCCACTTTGTTACTGAAAATTTCTCCATGTTAAAGGTAACATTAGTCACCTTGCACTGTCAGAGTCACATAGAGATAAGTTAACCATGGCAGAGGAGCTGACCCTACAGCTTTTGTAAAAAAGGATACTGCTTAAGTGCTCTACAATGACTGTTAGAAGGCCTTTGGCTGATCTTTCCTATATTAGCTACCAGGGTCCTATACATAGGAAGAAATAACAAGCGGACACAAGGAATCAGCAAGCTGCCTCCTTAATGATCCACTGGAGCACTTTCCAACAGACTCAGCACATGCCATATACCCCATATGGAACAAATACTGGCAGTGCAAGTGCTCCTTGATGAGCAGGGAAAGAACCCTTTGCCTTCTTAAAATGCCACACTTAAAAATACTATATACAAGTCTCTTCCTTGCTAAGACTGGCTTGTAAGGAAATCCTCTCCACTGAGAAGGACCTTGACTTCCACAGTCAGAAACACAAAGCTTTGAAGAAGCAGAAGCATTAACCAGAAAACTCCCTTTTCCTACAAGAGGGGTGTGACAGAACGTTTTGCAAAAGAGAAGCCACGAACCATTTCATTGTGCAGGGTATCAGCTACACATTCCCATGATTAAAGGAGAAGCCCATATTGCAATTATTTAAAATTAAATATAATAAAAGAAGAGCCCACATGTTACAACAGCAGTTCTCAGGACAATGCGTGTGCTGAGCTTACCAATGTCTGTGGCAAGCTGCTTTGTCGAATGTAGAGTGAGCTCCGGTATTTGCAGGATGACTTCGCAATAGGTTTGCATCGTAGCTCTGGCGATGGAGCCCAGCCAGTAATCAGCCATGTTGTCCAGCTCAGGTAATTCATCTCCTGAACAGAAAATTCTCATGAGCTGTCAGCGGTCTCACTCACCTGCATGCACTAGTTTTGGAACAAGACATAATTACAGAATCACAGAATGGCCAAGGTTGGAAGGAACCTCTGGAGATCATCTAGTCCAACCTCCCTGCTCAAGCAGGGTCCTCTAGAGCACATTGCACAGGATTGCATCCAGGTGGGTTTTGAATATCTCCAGGGAAGGAGACTCCACAACCTCCCTGGGCAACTTGTTCCAGTGCTCAGTTACCCTCACAGTCAAGAAGTTTGTCCTCAGGTTCAGATGGAATTGCCTGTGTTGCAGTTTGTGCCCGTTGCCTCTTGTCCTGTCACTGGGCACCACGGAGAAGAGACTGGCCCCATCCTCTCGACACCCTCCCTTCAGATATTTGTACATATTGATGAGATCGCCTCTCAGTCTTCTCTTCTCCAGGCTACACAGGCCCAGCTCTCTCAGCCTTTCCTCACAGGAGAGATGCTCCAGTCCCCTCATCATCTATTGTGGCCGTTTACTGGTCCTGCTCCAGGAGCTCCACGTCTCTCTTGGACCGGGGAGCCCACAACTGGACACAGTACTCCAGGGGAGGCCTCCCCAGGGCTGACGAGAGGGGCAGGATCACCTCCCTTGACCTGCTGGCGACACTCTGCCTAATGCAACCCAGGATACCATTGGCCCTCCTGGCCACAAGGGCACATTGCTGGCTCATGGTCAACTCGTTGTCCACCAGGACCCCCAGGTCCTTCTCTGCAGAGC